TAATATGCTCAAAAGTGAACCATGTTTTAAGCGCAATTTGACTTAGATTGAAACGTTCTAGAAATATAGTCGTAACGACTTTAAATCTTGCTAGAGGATCTTCGGAAGTCTCCGGTAATCTTCGTAAATTGATCGGGCTTTCATGCCTACTGGATTGCCATTTTGTGCAAAAATAAGACGCTCAAAAGTGAACCATTTTCGAGCGAAATCTGACTAAGATTGAAATGTATTAGAAATATAGTCGAAACGTCTTCAAACCTTGCTAAAGGATCTTCGGAAGTCTACGGAAGTATTCGGGAATCTTCGTAAATTGATCGGAAATATTCGACATTTGGAAATCTTGACCTGCATGGTCTCTGTGGGAAATGTTGATCACTTTGAAAATCTTTGTAGCTGTTGTCGTCGTTTTTATAATTCAGCATTTTTATGATAGCTTTTTACCAGAAATTTCTGTTAGGAGTTTCTTGCAATTGATGTTATGCGCATTTGAACTCTTATTTCCGTAAAATTTGCGCAAATACAGATTGTATTACAACTATTTTTATTACATGTTTTAAGCCGTCTGTGGTCTGCGCAAAACTAAAAAACTTTCAATGGATAGCGCTCGGCTGATTATTGACATTGCTCTCCACATGGCAACAGCACATTTTACAATAACTGCAGAAATTCTTGCGCGCTCATTGGATAATTTTCATTGTCAATAAGCGGACAGACACATGAATTTATAACCTCTGCCTTTTGTTATTGTAAAAAAAAACAAATTGACATCAGTTTTCCATGCGTCTGTCCTGTTATTGACAATGAATTTCACCATGATATTGCCAAAGTAGTCTGCGGATCCACAGCTACTTTGACAATGTTATGACGAAATTCACGATCAATAACAGGACAGACGTATGAAGAACTGACGTCAATTTGTTAAATTTAGGTTCCTCCTGGTCACCTGGTCAGGCTTTAAGAGTCCCGTGAAAACATCAGTTCAGCGCCTAGGAAACTTATATAATTGTTCCAGACAGTTTTTCTTTTTCTTTTTTCGTTCTTTCTGTTTTGCTTCGCAGCGAGCAAAGCACCACGAGAGAACTACCCACGAGTTTTGTCGTGTCGCTTGAAATGCCCATGCATGCAAATCAGACAAGTGCTTCAGTAACTACTGTGAGCAAAACGTCATTGGCGGCTACTGGTGAGCGATGGAATGCACTTTCCTTTGTTTCGCATAACAGGGTTATAATTGCACAATACAAGTAAGAATTAAGCTTCCTTCAAAGTACTTGTGCAGCATTTGAAGTTCTCAGCGTTAAATTTAAATAACTGCCCAGTCCAGAATGTCTGCAGTATTGGATTGAAAATACTGGTAGCTAAATAAGGGAACACTTCGAAATAAAGCAAGAAACATGTACCACAGAATCTTAAACGAAGGGTTTATAATTTATGACGACAATAGCCCTGTATTTCCAAATGGGGTCACACAAGGCTCATTGAGGTGTGACCATGCTCTCGATTATAATCTGATGCCTGAGCATTCCTACAAAGGGAAGTTGTAAGAGCTGAAGGGAAAAGAAGGCAATAGAGGTGTTCAAAAATTTGCCTGAAGCTTGGAGACACTCACGAAATCTTATAGAAACAGCGCAGCTCTTTTCCAGACTTATACGTATGATATATCTTGTCAAGCGTGGAAAAAATCTCAAAAACGTTCATGAATAAAATTGACTTCCA